AGGGCCCTCCATTGTTGAATGATTCTATTTTGATACGATTTCGTGCTAACCCTGTTGCTATCATTGGTGACATAGAAAAGGCGTTTTTGCAGGTAAAACTAGAACCTGAAGAACGCAAATTTACTAAATTCTTGTGGCTTTCAAACCCAAACGACCTCGAAAGCAATTTTGATACTTACCAATTCAAGTCTGTTTTATTTGGTGCGGCATGCTCGCAATTTATCTTAAATGCTGTGGTAAAGACACATTTGGAACTTTACCCTGATTCGCTTGTTGCAAAAGATTTAAAATCTAACATATATGTTGATGATGTTATTACTGGTGTCAATAATCCTATTGATGCCATCAACTACTATAATACTGCTAACGAGATGATGTCATCAGGTGGCTTTAACCTGCGTTCATGGACGTCTAATTCCAGTGAATTACGCGACTTAGCAAACAAGGACAATAAACATAATGAACATAATAATGTTGGTTTGCTTGGATTGAGATGGGATACGCAACGTGATGAACTTTCATATAAACGCTTTGACATGCCTTCACCCGATCAAATATTGACCAAACGAGACATTGTGAGTGCGACAGCTTCCATTTATGATCCACTTGGCTTGCTGTCCCCAGTACAAGTAAGAGCCAAACTACTTATCCAAACCATTTGGAAATCTAAGATTTCCTGGGATGAGCCTGTTGATGATGAAACTACTGCAAAATGGAATGACATTGCCAGAGATCTGTGTGATGTGACTGATATAAACGTTAATAGATGTTATTTTGATAACCTTTCACTAGATGTAAATAATAACATTTATGAGTTACACACCTTTGCAGATGGGGCTGTCATTTATTTGAGATGCAACAACAAGACGACTATTGTTATGGCTAAAAACAGAGTTTCACCGATGATTACCTTAACCCTGCCACGCCATGAACTGATGGGAGCACTGATTGCTACTCGACTTTGTAAGTTTGTACTTGATACACTTTCACCCAAGCTGAATATTAAACGTTGTGTGTTATGGTGTGATAGCCAGATAGCTCTGAGTTGGATAACTAGTTCCCAGAAATTACCTATATTTGTAGCCAACAGAACGAGAGAAATAACTGCCTTCAATCAAGAATACCGCTATGTGCCTACGAAGGACAACCCTGTTGATCTGCTTACTTGTGGTATCACAGCAAGTGAATTGAAGAATAGTGAACTTTGGTGGACTGGGCCAAAATGGCTTTCTTATATCAACTTGTGGCCTGAAACAGTCTACAAATCACAAATACTACATGTAAATATAAATACACATGACGACACTGACATTACATCTACGATACATGACATAGAAATCCTTGACGATGGCATCACAGATCAAAATAAACAAAGACAGGTAGCCCCAACCTTTGACCCTATGACTCAGTCTGTTGGTATTGAGCGTGTGATTGAGCTACATAAGTACAGTGATGTCAACAAACTTCTGAGAGCGACATCATATGTGATACGGTTTGGTGCTAAAGTGAAAAACAGAACAATGAAACTTTCTGATCCCATTTCAGCCAATGAAATGGACAACTCGGAACTGATGTGGATAAAATTGGTTCAGCATGAAGCTTACCCTGAACTATATACATCTCTTGTAAACAACAACAAAA